TAATTTGTTGTTCATGGGGAATTAATAATTATCGAATGTATACAGTACAGTCTTTACTAATAGGTGTTTTGTTTTCATATATGTAGACAAGATTATTATGGAATTTATGTTTCATGACTCTCAGGACCCACTAAATTTCGAAGACCCCTTTTCCCTTCCCTCCAATTGCAGCACTGGTGGGTGGGACTGTGACTTTTGTCTGGCAATCGAGGCCCTGGTTGCCAGCACGTGTTGCTCCCCACCAAGAGGGAGAAGGAGAGGACCAGACCTGAGTAACGGCCCCTGGTTATCCGCTAGAGAAGCAGGCTGCATTATACACCTGAGTTTCAAAAAAACAAAACAAAAAAGAGAACGGAAAGAGGGGGGGGCCCATTCAAGTAATCATCAACATGAATGAGAAAGACAGACAGATCCCACGTACTCGGTACTACCGCCTTCCCCCGAACATAGCGCATATTATGTGTTTCAAGCAAACTACATGACTACTAATGGATCCAGATTTCGCTCGATTACAAATAATAAAACAGAGGTGCCTACATGTATCGTGTTCGACTATTGCGGCTGTTCAAATAGAACCCGCATGCGTTGTATTCGAATAGAAAAGAACCTATGCGTTGTGTTTGTTTCCAGAGCGTACGCGATATGTTCGGGGGAAGACGGTAGTGGCTGCATAGCATCACCCAAAGTAGACCAAAAAACATGACAATTCTCATCACTTCACTGAGACGGCAGGCATTCATGCATTCATAAAGTTACCCTTCAACAGGAGTGAAACTGTGAAATCCCGCCATCCTGGACGCAAGAGGGGCGAAGGGCGAAACAACCGAAAGAGGCAATAGGGATACGCGAGTGGTGCCAAGGCCAGGTGGTTAATAGCGCTGCCAAAATTTGCAGGCTCCTGGTTTGCCCTTGCGGATGTGTGGCTGGCTGGGAACTGTCAGAGGTGGACAGATACATAGCTCCTGTGTCAAAAGGGGATCCGTTTCATTCATTACTTGGTAGCCGAATGTGAAAACAGCAGGTGTATCTTATCCTTGTGCAAAATGGCAACATACATTCACCATTTCCACATTTACAGAGAGAATGAGACCCTCTCTTCAGATGAACAACATACGAAACAGCCCCTGTCTCCCGCCGACCACACCCCAGGCCTATCAATCAACAAAACCGATTGGATTTACAGTCATTTACTATATATTGAATTTTATTTAGTCTGTGACTCTGCGGTTTCCCCTTCAAGACTTCTTTTGTGTACCCCACAGAGCCAGAGGGGTACTCACCCTTAAGTTTGATGTGGTCAGCGATATCAGTGACCCAGCTAATGCGCAGGCGCCTGCGTCACCGATCCTGTTGTGGCTGAGATCTAACGTCGTCAACTGCGGACAGGATAGTCTCAGTGCCCTCGCCAACGAATCTGCTCCATGGGCACCAATGTTGTTAAAACCTGCAGCAACAAAAAAACATAAAAGATAAAAAGCGCACAACTTCAGCAGTGTCAACACATAGTGGATTTCTTGCTGTGCAAGCCCCATCTGCTCTGGGGGGCAGCAGTCCGGTTACTTGTCACCGATCAAGGAGGCAGTTTGACTACAAGAAACAGACTAAGAAATAGGAGGCGACGAGGAGAGAGAAAGGGGTAGGGGCAAGGTAAGACAAGAGAAGAAAGGGGTAGGGGCAAGGTAAGACAGAAGAGGCTACACACAGCGTAGTGGATTTCTTGCTGTGCATTTTTTGTCAAAACAATATTCCAAGTTGATAAGAGTACATGTGATCCTTGTTTTCGATGTTTCGGAACCATCGTCGGGGGGAACCAGATAGATGCCATGTACCGAACAGTAGAGTACATTTTGAACTGATGATCAGAGCTCTCTAATGTTAGAGAAGCAAGGCATGTGCTTTGTTACGCGGGGCCCGTCATGACATAGCTTTGGCCATCAGGTTTTACCCCATCGCTGGCCATGTGCCTTCTTTGTTAACCATGCTGTCCAGCCTGTACTCCAGCGAGGAATTGTCCACTGCGGGTAATCCAGTGGGCTGAGGAGTGCCATCAGCTGGCCTGGAAAGCATATCTATGTCACCTCATACATTGAATTTAGGACATTATTATCATATTATATTGCATGAATTTGTAGCATATGCCATATAGCAAATTCATCATACACAGGAAAACAAACAGGATAGCTGATTGGGAAATGACCGCTTGGGCACTGGACGAGTGAATGACCAATTTGCCCTGCCAAAATGTTCGCAGGGGTGTGCACAATCTTCTCTAGCAGGTCACTCGGCAACTCCCCCCCCCACATATCTCACTTTCTCGACGAATATAGGCATTGACCGATTTCCCCCTGCCAAAAAGGCCAGTGGGGGTTGCGCATGATCTTAATCGGCACAGTTCAAAACTTTATATACTTTCTGATTGGGCACAGAGTCAAAGACATCACGACGCTCAGAGCGAGGCGGCCTGAAACACAGGTTACTACTGAGTCATAAAACATAACGCATTCTCAAAAAAAAAAAAAAAAAAAACATAACGCATCACCAGCTCAAGCATTGGATCTACATATCCAGTGCTAAGCGCGCACGAATGTAGCCAGTTTCACAACCAGATTCATACATACATTCTCATCATGAGACACAGCCTTGGATCGACATATCCAGTCAGCTAGTTGAATTACCAATTGAACATACATAACAAGGTGTAGCGCAGTCTAGTAGCACATCTGTTTTGGGTACAGAGGGTCATAGGTTGAGTCCTGCAGACATGCTGTCTGTGCTAAGCGTGGACGAATGTAGCCAGTTTCACAACCAGATTCATACATACATTCTCATCATGAGACACAGCCTGCCAGCTGAGTTCGCATGAACGTCGTGCAACTTTCCAGAAAGGTTTTGCTTTCTGGACCTGTTTGAACATGACAGTGCGTCCTCGCCTGCATGAATGTAGCTGGTTTCACGACCAGATTGCTATACATTATCAGCATGAGACACAGCCTGCGTGAATGGTTCTGTGTTTCAGCTGAGTTCACAAGACTTCACATGAATGTCGCACAACTTTGCAGAAAGATCGTGCTTTCTGGACCTGCGTGAACATAAAAAAGAGGGTCCTTGCCTGCTCATGTATCTCGACATGCCAGTTGCACAGGAGAGATTCTGAACACAGATTAAGACCCCACAGCAAGTACATTGACCATGCCCCAAGAAAATAATGAAAGGCAATGATGATATCAGGCAACACTGTGCATGGATTTGGAGAGTGGTTCACTTGACGACCAGATGGAAGATGGCAAGCACTCGACTAAGCACCCGAAGGAGCCTGGCATGAAAAAGGCAACACGGAGGATGGATTTATCGGAGTGAGGACCACTGCGATAAAGCTCGAAGCGCAAGTTTGGCAGAGAAGGATCCTCGCAAGAAAGAGCACAGAACCTCCATTGACGAGTTTATTCACTAGCGACGAGCCTTGCTCACTTGGTACACCGATGGACTGTTGTAATGATACTAATGAAGACCTGAGTTGGATCAAATCCTGCCGGACAATGATGAATGGAACAAATAATTATGAATTACCTAGGGCTGATCTGATCAATGAAGATAATTCAAAACTGTTGCCCTTTCAGAAAAAAAAAGAAAGACAATTTGATGCACTGACAGAATGAGGAAGGCAACGCAAAGCATGGGAGACTTGTGATGATTCGCTAGCACACCAGGCTACTATGACTCACCCAGGTACAGGTGATTGAGCGTTGGATGGTGGACAATGGCACGAGCGATGGCAGAAGCTCCCCGATCCGCAATTCCATTCTCACACAAGTCAACGGCCATGACTGAAGAGTTTGCTCGACACGCCGCGGCAATGTGCTCACAGCCTTCATCCCCGAGCCTGTTATTTCCCAAATTTAGAGTCTCTATCTGCAACCATGATGAAGCCACCGCATCACACATCAATGAAGCGCCACAAAGCCATCCACTCACACACAGAACAGCACTGGAATGGGTCAGAGTGCAAGGAATATGAGAGTGCAAGGAATATGAGTGAGAGCGATAGACAGAAAACCATATTGCAAAATCGCGATGTAGTCCAGATAGTCGTGTACCAAGCAGAAAGCACAATGCACCTATATACCAGCCAAATAAGAGCAACACAGCAAACTCAAATGTCAATGTACTATGTAGGCACTCTCTTGCCACATCAGCTTGGTACTAGCCTATACACTACATTCACTCAACCGGCGTCACTTTTGAGGGGCAAGGCTGTACATCTGCAGTCACTTTCTCCGCCATCACTTTTCCTATCATGCACTGTTGCATACTCATGAAACACAGTCATAAGTATGGCGCAGATTCCCAGAACCGCCCAGATAATACAGAGTTAATACAAATACAGCGGAAGAATTGAGATACATGGATTGACTCTGACGCAGACCGCAACGAAACACTCACAAACATACGTCGGTGGTGTGAAAGCCCTGGCCATGGACACAGAAGAAAAGGCAAGGGTCCAAGATCATACACAGACGAATGGAGGGAGGGGAGAGACGAAGGAGGAGGAGAGGGAAGTTAACGTACCATGAATCCAGAAATAGTATCTCGAAAGTCATAAGTAACGCAAATCCGAAATGTCATGAAAACAGAGTCTCACTGTGTCCCAGATGTCGATCTCCCAATATCAAGACACATCTCCAGAAGTAGAAAGTAGTCCTCAACCAATGTCTCAAAGTTACTATCTCAACTGTCATCAGAACTCGTAACCATCGTCCATAGTCGTAGTAGTCCAGTAGGAGCCACCCGAGACTGAGACTCGAGAGCGAGCAAGAGCAGAGGAGGAAGAGGGAGGAAAGGCGGGCCTTTTCTCCCTAGTACCTGGCGGTGCAGCGATGGCGCTGCAGGGCTGGGTGCTGGGCCGCGGGCTGGGCCAGAGGGCCGGCGCTGCTCCTGCTTGCTGCGCTAGCTCGCTGCTGCGCTGTTCGTCCTTGCTGCTGCGCTAATCTCCCCTGGGACGCTGCACTAATCTGGTAGACTAACTCGTACCCTAACCACCAGACTGACTGTCGACCAACCTACCGACTGAGGCTGGTACCCAGCTGATATAGTGCTGGGTCGGCCTCAGTCGTACTGAGGGCCTTCGGGTCTGGACCGTTGATCAGGCCCAACGGTTCAGATCCGATTTGGAGGCTCGGGGCAACTGGACCGAAACGGCTGGTAGCGCCGAACAAAACGAAAACTAAGCGCTGTGCTGGCATACCGTAAAGCTAACCTGGATGGGGATCCGCCTTATACAAAAGAGGCTGGGATGTACTAGTGGTTTGACAGTCTGAATTTTCAAGATATCCTCATCGTCCTTCATAACAAAACTCCCACATCTTTTAAACCAAATCTTTCTTTTTTTTTGAAAACAGGCGAAGTTTTTTAAGCCACCACTACCTTTCCCATACACCGGGCGCTGGCAAGGCCCCGCAACTTTCGAAGACCGGAAATGCAGCAATCAATTCAATCAATTGCCTGTCGAATATGGACAGGATGGCCTTTCAGGCCCTCTTCGGACTACACTGAAAGGTAGTGGTGGTTTAAGCCCAACCAATTCAATTACCTGTCGAATCTGGACAGGATGGCCTTTCAGCCCCTTTTTATTATCATTACAGTATGGGGAACCCCGTAGCAGCGACATCCTCGTTCAAGCATCACCCAACGAGGGAGCTGGGAGCTGCACCCACCAGCAGGTGCGACAACCCCTACAGCATGTACACGACACCGGCCAGGGGTCAGCCGGTAGCATCAGGATCAAGTTTCACCTGAGTGGCCAGTCATGGTGCCTCCCCTCTGGTGCCCTCCCCTTCCTGACATCAGCAGTACCTGCTTAGTTCCGATAGGGGGGCTCAACGGTCCACCTCTAGATGGCGGGTATGCCCAGGTAGGTACATGAGGTCGATGATTGAACTCATGACCTCCTGAGTGCCACTTGAATGCCTTAACAACCGAGTTAGGCCACAGACTTAAACCAAGTCCATACAGTGGACACGAATAAACCATTGGAGGGGGGGGGGGAAGTAACATAAACAATAAATCAAGGAGCCTGAACCCTCCCCAAATGCCCTTTTCATTGTTATTGCTTTGGGGTTCAACCTACGGACTGAGAAGTGAGGGCCCACCTGTGCCAGTCCCTGACATAGAGTTGCCAAGCACCTCCGAATCCAGATCATCCTGGTCTTCCTCCAGTCCCTCATTTATTCCAAGGGGCTGCAATGCCATTGCGGTTTATTGCTTTCCTCCGCTATTGTCTTGATATGATAGAGACTCCCTCCATCCCTCCCTTTTCTTCATTGAGGCGAGTGGATGTGCAGCCACATTCACTCTCTGACTGTGCTAAAATCTCCACTTTTTTATGGGAGCAGGGTGCAAAACCACCACTGCACCCCGAGCAATACTTTTGCCCCTCCTTTTTGCCTGGCGCTGGATGTGTAGACCATTATGGGGTCCAGTCTACAAGGCGCCACTACCTTCCTGAACTGGATAGGTTATACTGGCCCTCAGCCCCCTTTGTGCACACTGCACAGGTAAAATCCAGGGTACAGCCAAGGACCCCAGGCCCTGCCAAGGATCATGCTGGTGCACAAGCACTGTGCTTCCCCCTCTATACTGCTGAAGTATAGGGCCCAGACTGACACCCCTGCTGGGCCCAGCAGAAACCAATAGCAGGTGGGACTGTTGTGGTACCTTAAAATTTTGTTTTTTGTGCATTTCCTTACAGACCGTTTTTCAGTAGTGCTTGGCCCTGCATAGTCCCCGGTGAAAGTGTTCGAACTGAGCGGAACTGCGCGTGTTGGAATACAAGGTGCGGAACTGGCAGCATGCCTGGATGCAGCATCGTTTCATCGACTCTTCTTTAGGTGTGCACGCGTTGTCTCTTTCCCTTCATTATTTTTTCGGCCGCCTTAGTCTTGATTTTGCACCATCGTTTTTTTGTTGTTTCTACACCCAATTTGTTTTCGGTTTGTTGCTGCTGTCTCCCCAGCGGCTCTGGAGGTGTTTGAATACAAGTACACATTGCTAGGGGTCCCCAGAATCACAAATCATTCGTAAGACCACGGTTTCATAAGATTTGATCACGGAAATATTCGGACCGAAAACCACCTACCTTTAGCAACTATCAGCAGCTCAACCCTATCCGCCTCTCTCCTATACCCCGATACCCAATCTCTACCAGGCCTCCCACCCCCAACTGCTAGGTTACAGAGTGGCACGACCCACCCCAGAAATCCCCCCACCTGCTAGGTTACAGGGCAAAGCGACCCGCCCCAGCTCCGGCCAGCGAAACTAAGTATCAGTTCGCCATAGACAGAGTGCCTTCCACCCTCGGCAACTCCCCAGATCTCTCTACCAGGTCTCATGTTCCCGTACCGCTCGGGTTACAGGGCAGCACGACCAAGCCCCAGCACCAACCAGCGTCGTTCTAACCTCGTCCATTCGCAAACCACTGGGACCAAAGACATCAACAGATACCAGACAAGCCACCAGTCGTCGCCATGGCTGTAGTTCCGATCATCCACTCTTTCAAGCACTGGCTGCAAACATCCAACAAAAACCTTCTCAACCTTACTACCGCAAAACTTACTGCGGTAAAGCCACCATCTCCACCGCTGCTGTACCCTATTTCCGCCCTACTGGCTAGCCCCTTCGCCGCAGAGCACATTATCTCCAACCATCACCGCAAGCACAATCCACTGCAACCAGCACCGAAATTATGACAATTTTTCCAGTTGAAACCTCAAAAATCAAAAAGAATTCAAAGAACATAGATACACACGCAGGAATCATAACCTCAAAAGGCTGTTATTTTCAAAGGGAGAGAGAGGGCGGGAGGGAACTACTTTCCCCATGGAAATTCCTGCACCTATTCACGTCTCAGCTGGATGTAAAGAGACTCGCAAGAAACCGAGCGGCTTACTCCTTTCCCCCCAAAAAACAAGCTCCTGTCCTTTCGCTGCCTCCGCTGGAAGGCGCCCCCTCACCTCCCAGCCCCAGTTCAGAACAGCCCCCTAATTCACTCCTGCTCCCTCAGCAGCATGCAATACCCCCTAGAGCATGCCCCCGCAGAGCTGAAGATGCCCCTTCCCTCGTGTCCCACCCCCTCCAAGTGAAGCACCTCTCGACCTCTCATCTTGCTGAAAACAGCACGGCCTCTTGTCCTCCCTCCCAACCGCCGTGGCTGATCCAAACCAGATCAGTCTGGCCCAAAGGAGAACAAGACCCACAATACCGCCCCTACCCTCTCAAGGATCACACCTCCCACCTTGTATAACCCTCACAAGGAGGGGCTCCAATCCTGAAGGAGATATTCAATCAGCACCTATGAGCCCAAATCCTACAATATCACAACTCGAGACTCGATTGTAACCAGTTTTTTGGGAATCCTTCAAACAAGTGACATCAAATATCGAATTCAAAAAAAGAGCCCAAACTTATGCACACAGAGAGAGAAATTATGTCAGTGTATCTCTGCGCGTTCTATCACAGCGCTGCATCTTTTTTCTTTTGTTCCATGCCCATTGCCGCATCCGTGGCAGGCATCCACTTGTTTCATATAAAGGGTTACAGCCTTGAGTTATCGTAAAAGAAAAAGAAGGCTTTGGGATGTTATACTGGCCCCAGGTAATATAGAAATTTGATTCATCTAGTTCCACCATTTTCTCTTTCCAAAGCCATTAACATTCACCTGCCGTCCGGTGATTGGAAACGATGGAAAGGCTTTCACTATTATGAGCCTACAAAAAAAAAAAAAAGCATTCACCTGCCGTCTTTCAGGACTGTGCTACCTCACTATGAGAGTGAGGTTCCGGTCTCCCAGATTCTTTACTTGCAGCCATCGATCTTCGTGCATGGACAGTCAGAAATAAGGATGGGCCCGTGCCCAT